TCTCTCTCATTGGGGTGTAACATGGTCAGAACACTCTCATTGCCTGTTTCCTTTCTTCCACTTCCCCATCCATCCTGGAGGGACTGGGGAGCATTTATTCATTATAAATACAAGCTTGCTGGTCATGGGGACATTTCCTTGCTGCAGGGGCTGCTGAGCTCCCTTTGACACTGCAGTAAGAGCAGAGGTAACCCAAGGGTCCAGCTTCTAGGTACATCCAGCAAGACAGCGGCCCCCCCATGTCTTCTGCCACCAGCAAAGCAGGAGCCCCCAGCAGTTGCTTAACACAGTTAATAGGTTCTGAGTCCTTTAATGACTCTCCCACTGGTTAAATAGAAATGAAAAGGCAAAGTTGAGCAGGAAAAATCAGGTGTGGGCTGACCTTGTTCAAACCCCCCCCCCCCCCCAAGTCATCCCACTGCTGCTCTCAGGCTCTATTAAGCAATATTTGCTTTTCTGGAGATATAATCCACCAGCGCTAATGCCTGGGGAAGGGAGGGGATGTCATCACGTCTCCCCTCGCCTGCTTCACGCCTCCCATCCCATCTGTGGGCTTTAAACCTGAGCCTGAGCCTGGTGTGAGGCTCTCATAACCAGCAGCCAGGACATCAATGCCTTTCCCTGCCAACAGCGATAGCACCCGTGGCTTTTCATCCTGCCCAAAGCACTGGAGAGGAAATTAAAAGGGCGATAAGGGAGCTCTTTCAGCAGGCAAGGGAATATTCGGTGCTATCAGTGAGATAAACTAATATTTCTTCCAGCTCTGGCAAAGGCCCAGGAATGAGACGTGGGGTGAAATCCACATTTATAGAGTTTTCATAACTTCTCCAGGCTGCGGGATAACCATCGCCCTCACTCACATTTCCTCAGGGACAGAGGTCAGCGCTGTGGGACAAAGGCAGAGACAGAGTCTATAAGGAGGAGAAGCCCAATCAGCTCCAGTACTTCAGGGTAGTTCTATGGCCCAGTGCAGCTGCAGGGCAGCAGGTGCTGCCTTTGGGTGCCTTTCTAACAACCCCCGTGTCCAGCAGCCCCCAGAGAGAGGAACGAGCAGAGGGTTTGTACAAGCTGGATTTGACCCATCCATGTCTCATCCATTGGCCCCAGAGCAGGGGACTGGCCCCTGTATGATGCTCCCCTATAGCTATAGGGGCTGATGCCCACCAGGAGGGAGGTGTGCTGGGGGTCCCCAACATTCCCTGAGGGGGATCCAATGGGAATGAGAAGGGGAGTAGGGATGTTCCATGTATGGAAGGAGAGCAGCATCCCCTCCAGCTCTCTGAAATGAGGATTTTGTCCCGTTATCCTCCTCTCATCCATATGGGCAAGGATGAGATGCTGCAGGATGCTCAAGATGCCCCCACAGCTCAGCCCCAAGCCCACCTGAGCTCAGCACCAAATCCAGCATCCATCCATCCGTGACCATGGGAATGCCCCAAAGCATCACTCACTGAGTGCCCAAATCCCCAGGAGAAGGCCAATGAGTGATTGAAGGTTTCTGTGCATCCCCAGCAGAGGTGAGGAGAGACCCTGGCCCTGCACAGGGTGGTTGTGAGGCCTCGTGTCCTGCTTGGCAGTGTCTGAAAAGGAAAAGATCCTGTGCTGGTAAGTGCATGAGCAAAGTGGCAATTGGCTGCTGGGGAGAAAAGCCTGGAGCAGATGCTCGCACTGCATTGAAAGAAGAGAATTCTCTCCTTCAAACAAAGCAGAATCAGAGCCACAGATGCCTCCCAGGCTTTGTAAGGAGCCAGCAATTAGTGACAGAGCAGCTTCACTCTGGGGCAAAATACTGACATTGAAATTGTTGTGTCCTTTGAAATGAAGCATCTAAACAAGCTGCTGCCCTCAGTTGAGTGGGTTCGGTTTAATCTGCATATCCCAACCTCAGAGCCCCCCACTTCACACCAGCTGTTTCATGGCAGAAATGCCTGTTGAAACAGGCAGCCCTTCTCCAGCTCATCCTCACCTCTGCGAATGTGGTGGGGCCTTAAATGTGGAGCTTTAATTTGCAGTTATTGGCATAGGAAAGCAAAGGCATCGCTCAGTGGTGTTGGGGATCACTGTGGGCAAACCATGTTCAACCTCCACCCGTGTGAACATCCTCCCTGCAGCCAGGACCAGCATCGTGTGAGCCCATGAATCCCCAAAACCAAGTGTGTTTCCTGGTGTGTTTCACAACACCAGGAAAAGAACTCATTTAGGAATGTTACACTCGGAGATTAGATTTCTCTGAGGGTTTTCCACTTCTTACCTTCAATTAAAGCAGTTTATTTTCATCACAATGCTTAATTATCCAATATTGGAATGATTTATTATAATTAGCATTAGCTTGTAGTTAAATGGTCTCAATGTGTGAGGGCACAGGGGGGTCTACTAGGGTCCTGCTCGCTTTCCCTGGCAGCTCTGGCTCATCCCAACAGCGCCCAATGCGATTCCAGCAGCAAAACTAGAACCATGGAATCAACCAGGTTGGAGAAGACCTTTAAGCTCATCAAGTCCAACCATTCCCAGCAGTGCCAAGGCCACCACTAAACCCTGGCACTGAGGCACTAACCCCTGGCACTGAGGCCCCGTCTACACGGTGTGTGAACGCCTGCAGGGACGGTGACTCCAGCACTGCCCTGTCTCATCAAACGAACCCAGTCTCCAGACATCACATTTTATTGACCTCAAGCCACCCGAGTGGTGAGGGCGGATGATGAGGGGCATCACTGGGTGATGAGATGTGGGCAAGAGGATGTGGGCAGACCCGTCCCTGCTCCTCCCATCCCCACTGGCATTGGGCTGGGCTTTTCCTTTTGTTTATGACTGTTTCTCTGAGCTATTGACTGGCAGAGACTCAGAGCTCTGCCATGTTCCCGACACAGGTCAACACTGAGGGCATGTGTTGGCTGTGCTTAGTCCTGCTGCCCTGGCAGCCCCTACCCGTGTCTGGAACCACAGGGCTCGGGGGGCCCCCCAGCACCACTCCCCTGGGTGCACACCCCAGCACCGCAAACCCAGCCCCTGCCTGCTCAGGGCTGCTGGCCCAGCCCAACACCCGCAGAGCCCCACAGTCCCTCCCGACATCGCTCCCCACCACAGGGAACATCCCAGGGTTTTCTCACAAGTAGATTCACCAGCAAATGGGACATTGTTAAGACCAAAGAACTGGGTCTGGAGCACCCTTGCTCTGGAGCCAGGCTGAGAGAGCTGGGCTGGGTCACCCTGGAGAAGGCTCCTGAAGGGGACACCTTAGAGCAGCTCCAGTGCCTAAAGGGGCTCCAGGAAACCTGGAGAGGGGCTTTGGACAAGGGATGTAGGGACAGGACAAGGGGAATGGCTTGAACCAGCCAGAGGGGAGATTGAGATGGGCTCTGAGGCAGAAGCTCTTCCCTGGGAGGG